CTGCAGACTGACTGAGGATTTGCAATCTACATTTTCTATTTTTACTAAGTGAACATAATGTACTCTGTATTATTTATTATACTATATTATATGTAAGAACTGTCAAATTACATCAAAGTATGTCAGACAAAAATGAAACAATGCACACAGTTTCTGTCATTAAAAATACACTCAAGGTGACATGTTTGTTTTATTGAAACCATAACTCTTTTAGTCCCAGCAAAAACCCAATCTGGCGCAGTGTGACACTTTCAAAGACAACATAACATAATTGACATTTTTGCTGTGCTGGTTGGACAGAAAGTGTTTTAAACTACTCATTCTTATGATGGATATAATGATGGAGAGAGGGGGGGGGGTGGAGAAGGAAGGAAATCTGAGCACCTAGGGATTTAAAACCCATCTGCAGTCCATTTTTAGTGCTCATTGACAGGAATACTAAATTACACAACTGTCACAAGGGAGCTGCCCTGGTGTAGCAGCTACATCTCACCTGTGGATCCAAAGGTGGTGGGTTTAGATTTGAAGTGGCAACACCAGGCCAGGCCATCAGTTTCAACATGAGTAAAAGACACCCTGATTCCTATGTGTTCTGTTTGATATATGTATATCTGCTTATCTCATATAGTAAGAACCATTGTTACTGTCCTTCCTTCTCTTAGTGTTGTGAAATTTATATATTTTATAGGCCAGGCAGCTCTAAAGCCTTCTTGTGATAATTTAACATGCTAAGTGTTTATAGCATATCTGTGATAGGACATATTTCTGCCAGGTAATTGCTGACATGGCTGGCCTTGCTTAGGAAATCATCAAAAGCCCAGATGGCACAATGTGTTGTTCACATCTAGGCTGCAATATCAATAGATGCAGGGGGTCTGTTCTTCCTCTCACCCACATGCACGCACATAAATGAATGAAAACTGAACCCCTAACTGTGAGCAAGTGCCCTGCGCTGTGCTATTATGGCAACAATTGACAAGCACAACAAAACACATCTTCCCTTATCTCCTTCAATATTGACTTTAGCAACAAAGTAAATAATATATTCAAAAGACAAGATAACATTTTCACACAGATATATTTGTCTGTTGTATAAAGTAAACAGTGTTTGTGTCATTAGGTAAAGTTTCTGCAGCTATGCCATTCTAACTTTATATCTTCTTTCTGCCAACTCTTCTAGTCCACTCTTTCTACAGGCCTCATTCTACCACCTCATCTTATCTTCTGCCATCTCATCAAATTCACTCTGCTGTTCTAGCAACTGATTAAATCCTCGTTCTATTTGTCGAATCATTGTTCTGCCAACTCATTGATTAAATATAGTAACATATGTACACATAACCTTGTAGGATGACAAAGTAAAGAACATGTTTTCACCATACGCGCACGCACACACGCACACAGTGTGTGAGAGAGAGAGAGAGAGAGAGAGAGAGAGAGAGAGAGAGAGAGGAGAGAGAGAGCAAGCTCACTGAAATCTATTTGGTACAAACTGAGTTGAGCCCCTAGGTAAGTATGATGAACATATCTATTAAGACAAAATGCTATGTGTATGACAGATATGTGTGACTAACTTGCAAACCTATCTGAATCATGTTGGACAAAAGACAGTATAAAATCAAAACTTAAAAACTGATAGGAAATTTCATTCTTAGGGGATTCTGACTGACCCGAAATTCAAATAACGCTTTTTAGTTAGAATCTATGGATACCCTCTTATTTAAAAAAAAAAAAAAAAAATTACAGTAAACTCATGAATTTCAAAACGTTTTTAAAGGAAAAGATGTTTTTTTTTTCTTCCTCATTTCAAACTGCATTTACAGACAATACCTTTTGAATTCTATAGTCTAAAATTTTTTTTTTCAACTCTTTACCCCTGATGCACCTAAATTACCCACTTGAGGAGTTGATGCAATATTTGTTCTGTCACTAAGTCTAATCTGTGATTACAGTCTGGTGACCACTGTAGTCTTCCTTCTGTCACTGAGTCTAATCTGTGTTGACAGTCTGGTGACCACTGTAGTCTTCCTTCTGTCACTAAGTCTAATCTGTGATTACAGTCTGGTGACCACTGTAGTCTTCCTTCTGTCACTGAGTCTAATCTGTGTTGACAGTCTGGTGACCACTGTAGTCTTCCTTCTGTCACTAAGTCTAATCTGTGATTACAGTCTGGTGACCACTGTAGTCTTCCTTCTGTCACTGAGTCTAATCTGTGTTGACAGTCTGGTGACCACTGTAGACTTCCTTCTGTCACTAAGTCTAAAATGTGTGGACAGTCTGGTGACCATTGAAGTCTTCCTTCTGTCACTGAGTCTAATCTGTGTTGACAGTCTGGTGACCACTGTAGACTTCCTTCTGTCACTAAGTCTAATCTGTGTTGACAGTCTGGTGACCACTGTAGTCTTCCTTCTGTCACTGAGTCTAATCTGTGTTGACAGTCTGGTGACCACTGTAGTCTTCCTTCTGTCACTAAGTCTAATCTGTGTTGACAGTCTGGTGACCACTGTAGACTTCCTTCTGTCACTAAGTCTAATCTGTGATTACAGTCTGGTGACCACTGTAGTCTTCCTTCTGTCACTGAGTCTAATCTGTGTTGACAGTCTGGTGACCACTGTAGTCTTCCTTCTGTCACTAAGTCTAATCTGTGTTGACAGTCTGGTGATCACTGTAGTCTTCCTTCTGTCACTAAGTCTAATCTGTGTTGACAGTCTGGTGACCACTGTAGTCTTCCTTCTGTCACTAAGTCTAATCTGTGTTGACAGTCTGGTGACCACTGTAGTCTTCCTTCTGTCACTAAGTCTAATCTGTGTTGACAGTCTGGTGATCACTATAGTCTTCCTTCTGTCACTAAGTCTAATCTGTGTTGACAGTCTGGTGACCACTGTAGTCTTCCTTCTGTCACTAAGTCTAATCTGTGTTGACAGTCTGGTGATCACTGTAGTCTTTCTTCTGTCACTAAGTCTAATATGTGTTGACAGTCTGGTGACCACTGTAGTCTTCCTTCTGTCATTACGTCTAATCTGTGTTGACAGTCTGGTGACCACTGTAGTCTTCCTTCTGTCACTAAGTCTAATCTGTGTTGACAGTCTGGTGACCACTGTAGTCTTCCTTCTGTCACTAAGTCTAATCTGTGTTGACAGTCTGGTGACCACTGTAGTCTTCCTTCTGTCACTAAGTCTAAAATGTGTGGACAGTCTGGTGACCATTGAAGTCTTCCTTCAGTCACTAAGTCTAATCTGTGTTGACAGTCTGGTGACCACTGTAGTCTTCCTTCTGTCACTAAGTCTAATCTGTGTTGACAGTCTGGTGACCACTGTAGTCTTCCTTCTGTCACTAAGTCTAATCTGTGTTGACAGTCTGGTGACCACTGTAGACTTCCTTCTGTCACTAAGTCTAATCTGTGTTGACAGTCTGGTGACCACTGTAGTCTTCCTTCTGTCACTAAGTTTAATCTGTGACTACAGTCTGGTGACCACTGTAGTCTTCCTTCTGTCACTAAGTCTAATCTGTGTTGACAGTCTGGTGACCACTGTAGTCTTCCTTCTGTCACTAAGTCTAATCTGTGTTGACAGTCTGGTGACCACTATAGTCTTCCTTCTGTCACTAAGTCTAATCTGTGTTGAGAGTCTGGTGATCACTGTAGACTTCCTTCTGTCACTAAGTCTAATCTGTGTTGACAGTCTGGTGACCACTGTAGTCTTCCTTCTGTCACTAAGTCTAATCTGTGTTGACAGTCTGGTGATCACTGTAGCCTTCCTTCTGTCACTAAGTCTAATCTGTGTTGACAGTCTTGTGACCACTGTAGACTTCCTTCTGTCACTAAGTCTAATCTGTGTTGACAGTCTGGTGACCACTGTAGTCTTCCTTCTGTCACTAAGTCTAATCTGTGTTGACAGTCTGGTGACCACTGTAGTCTTCCTTCTGTCACTAAGTCTAATCTGTGTTGACAGTCTGGTGACCAATGTAGTCTTCCTTCTGTCACTAAGTCTAATCTGTGTTGACAGTCTGGTGATCACTGTAGTCTTCCTTCTGTCACTAAGTCTAATCTGTGTTGACAGTCTGGTGATCACTGTAGCCTTCCTTCTGTCACTAAGTCTAATCTGTGTTGACAGTCTTGTGACCACTGTAGACTTCCTTCTGTCACTAAGTCTAATCTGTGTTGACAGTCTGGTGACCACTGTAGTCTTCCTTCTGTCACTAAGTCTAATCTGTGTTGACAGTCTGGTGACCACTGTAGTCTTCCTTCTGTCACTAAGTCTAATCTGTGTTGACAGTCTGGTGACCAATGTAGTCTTCCTTCTGTCACTAAGTCTAATCTGTGTTGACAGTCTGGTGATCACTGTAGTCTTCCTTCTGTCACTAAGTCTAATCTGTGTTGACAGTCTGGTGACCACTGTAGTCTTCCTTCTGTCATTAAGTCTAATCTGTGTTGAGAGTCTGGTGACCACTGTAGCCTTCCTTCTGACAAATTTGGTCTTTGATTTCCTATCCAGCAATTGAAAACTCAGCATCCTGTCAACCAATCACAAATGAACACTCTACCAACCAATCACAAAATTAATATAACAAATCACAAAATAAGCATCCTTTAAACCAATAAGTCTGAATTATCTGCCACAAATTATGTGTCTTTCTTACAACCAATCACAATATTTTTGATGTTCTTTCTACTAGTTATAGTCTTCAACATTCTCTCAACCATTTAGTCTTCTTCCTTTTTTCAAGCATTTAGAATCTTCTTTCAGCCAATTACATACTGTGAAACATTTCATCCCCAGTAATATATCTTATACACGCAGTTTCTGACCTTTTTTAACCTATTACATTGTGAAAGATTTATCAGCCAATTAAGTCTGTCCTTATTTCAACTAATTATAGAGTATGAAACATTTTACCCAACATTTTCAACCAATCACAAAATCTGGGTCCTCAATTCAGCCAGTTACAAAGAGTGAAACATTTTATCAACCAATAAGAAAATCTTAAATATTATTTACAAATCACAAAGATTTCAATCTTTTCAGAAGTTTCTCTGCCTCAGACTCTTCAGGTTTCTTTTGGGCCTTGTTTCTGACATTCTCTCGAACCACATTAGAGCTAATATTGTAGGAATCTTCAAATCTAAGCTCTCGCAAAGCGGAGTTCTCCATCAGGCTCTGCTTTGACTGGTTTTTGGACAACTGGGCTCTCCTTTCAGCTGCAGACAAAGTAAATATTTTTATTTAAATGAACACAGGTCCTTTCTCACACCATCAACTCATAGAGCATTTAGTGCTAGACCCATTTTTTTTAAAAAATAACTTATGGGAACTTGATGTTAAAAATAAACAACTGAGGAAAATGATGAACATAAAATGGGATTTAACAGGAGTGAGGAAGTAAGAGAAATGTCTGGGCAATCACAAGTTCTGATAGTCATAATACAGAGAAGATGGCGCTATATTGGACACATTCTGAGATGAGACGAACAGAGAAACGCCAAACAGGCAGCAAAATGGGGAAAAAAAGTTATCAAGGAAACAAGGATGTCCCCGAGAAACCACAAAGCTAACACTGATGAGAGAAGCCACAAAGCTAACACTGATGAGAGAAACCACAAAGCTAACACTGATGAGAGAAGCCAAGGCTGGTCTGGGTTCCATTCATGATATCGAAGTGACTGCACAGGACAGGTCAGAATTGTCAAATAATGGCAAAAAATGACAATGAATTGATGAACTCAACTTGATATTCTTTCCACTGCAGTTCTGTTGCTGCTGTCCAAGTTTGATCATTAGAGACATAGCTTCAGGTTCACCTTGAAGCCTTAAGGTCTGGGAATCAAATCCACATTGAACGAATATGTTCATACATTCATAGATTCCTACCTGCTGAAGCCCTCACATGAAGTGCCAGATGCGCCGATTTTACATCTCTTTATGACCGATGCGCCCTAATTTGTAAAAGTGTCCTTTTACCCTTGATGCTAATTAACTTTTGGGTCTCAAAGAATGCACTGTGCATGGTCTGTGTATCAAATCCGTACATCATCAGGACAATAATTTTTTGTTGTTTTCGACAATGGCTCTTAATGATGACATCACCCAGCACTCTGCAAATTGGTCTATTTTCACATGACAGGTCTGGCATTTTTTCGCCCCTCTGGAAGTAGTATACCCATAAGCTTTGTAAAAGCGTTTCCTAACTTTTACTTTTCTGAATCATTAATGTCTAGTGTCACAGCTGGAAGTTGTCTGGCGGCGTGGTATCTGTTCTAGAGTTATGTGGATGCCAACACAAAAGGTGGTATACATCTCCTTTTCCTACACAGACTTTGACATTGCCAAACATTGAGTTATCATACAGGATTCCCTGGTTCTTTTCCATAACAACTCAACACTGATATCGCCAACTGTGCCAGTGATTTAGGTGGAGGGGAGCATTGGGTAAAATACTAAATTTATCGTATAATGAGGAAAATGAAGCCTGAAAAAAAAAAATTAATGGCAGGGCAGACCCCGCCCTTAGCCTTGGTTGACAGATGTTCTAGGTAGCCTTGGTTGACAGATGTTCTAGGTAGCCTTGGTTGACAGATGTTCTAGGTAGCCTTGGTTGGCAGATGGTCTAGGTAGCCTTGGCTGACAGATGGTCTAGGTAGCCTTGGCTGACAGATGTTCTAGGTAGCCTTGGCTGGCAGATGTTCTAGGTAGCCTTGGCTGGCAGATGTTCTAGGTAGCCTTGGTTGACAGATGTTCTAGGTAGCCTTGGTTGGCAGATGGTCTAGGCACCTTGGCTGGCAGATGTTCTAGGTAGCCTTGGCTGACAGATGTTCTAGGTAGCCTTAGCTGGCAGATGTTCTAGGTAGCCTTAGCTGGCAGATGTTCTAGGTAGCCTTAGCTGGCAGATGTTCTAGGTAGCCTTAGCTGGCAGATGTTCTAGGTAGCCTTGGCTGACAGATGTTCTAGGTAGCCTTGGCTGACAGATGTTCTAGGTAGCCTTGGCTGACAGATGTTATAGTTCTAGGTAGCCTTGGTTGGCAGATGTTCTAGGTAGCCTTGGCTGACAGATGTTCTAGGTAGCCTTGGCTGACAGATGTTCTAGGTAGCCTTGGCTGACAGATGTTCTAGGTAGCCTTGGTTGGCAGATGTTCTAAGTAGCCTTAGCTGGCAGATGTTCTAGGTAGCCTTGGTTGGCAGATGTTCTAGGTAGCCTTGGTTGGCAGATGGTCTAGGTAACCTTGGCTGACAGATGTTCTAGGTAGCCTTGGCTTGAAGATGTTCTAGGTAGCCTTAGCTGGCAGATGTTCTAGGTAGCCTTAGCTGGCAGATGTTCTAGGTAGCCTTGTCTGGCAGATGTTCTAGGTAGCCTTGGCTGACAGATGTTCTAGGTAGCCTTGGTTGGCAGATGTTCTAGGTAGCCTTAGTTGGCAGATGTTCTAGGTAGCCTTGGTTGGCAGATGGTTAACCTGTGGGTCGAAAGACTCTAACATGGGTCGCCAAATGCCGTAGGAAAACACATATTCACTAAAGTTATGAGCTAGCAACGCAAATAATTGTATGGTTGGGGGTCACTACAACATGAGGAAGTGTATTAAAGTGTCGCCGCATTAGTAAGGTTGAGAGCCACTGGTCTAGAAGGAAAGCTCAAGCAGGTGGACAGACAGAGCACTGCTCCTCTCATCTGGCATTTTCTACAGCGTGCTTTGTTCTAAACATGTTGGTGATACCTTCCTTTGGAGTTAACAAGGCAATACTGGGTCTTATGAAAACCATACTGGAGGGAACAGTTGAAAGCAAGAGAGCAAAAGGTAGGCAATGACAAGTGGGAGCACAACATCAAAAGACAAACAGCAGTCTGAGAGAGTACAACCAAGACAGAGAGATAGAGCGTATTGGAGATTACTGCAGCCAACCTTCACCGGTGGGGATGGCATCCAACTAACTGATGACACTATCCAACAATCTTCCAGTAACGCTAAGAGTGGCAACTATCTACACTGAAGCATCTAGCTATTTCTGACATAATGAAAATGATGACAATAACACATGATCTATTTACCTCCAGCAACCCTTGGAGTCCGACGTTTGCCATCTCTCCTCTCTCTGGTGACGGTAAAAGTTGAACCTGTTTTCAGAATCTCCAACAGGCTGTCCATAACACCTTCTTGGTTTTCATCTGCAAGAATATTAAATGAGATTTTCTTACACTGGAGAGCCAGTAAAAGAATAAATTTTCATTTATGATATGGTGAACATCATCAAACAAACACCTAAACAAAAGTACAAACTGCCTGTATTCACTTTTGCACTGTGTACATGTGCATGTGGGTGGGTGGGGGGTGTGTGTGAGGGGTGGGTGGGTGTGTGTGTTGCCCCATAGTTGCTCTGCTCCTGTGCCAATGAATACCACAGAGTATCCATCACTGTCCCACATGAAAAAACAAATTAACACAAACTGCAGTCTCAGAAAAGCTAATAGCATACACACACACACATTAAATGCATTAGGCAGCAGCCAAAAGTGCCAATACAAACAGTCCAACACTAAAGGCTGTTCATTGTCAACAGAAGCAGCTGTTAAATAGATCTGGAGTTGCACACACAATTAATTAGTCGCATAAGGCACTATCAGTTATCTCTGACAACAGGCTACATATCATCTTCAGAATCTGCAGTTTACAAGTCAAACTTGGAATAAACAATGACAAACAACCCAACATACTTGCTGTCATGTCTAAGATTGCAGCCTGTCGCAGCTTCTTCTCTTGCTTCTCCTTTTCAGCTTTCTCCCGAGCTTCGCTTGCCCTCCGGTTCTTTTCTTGAAATTCTCTCAGTCTGGCATTATCCTTCAAGGCTTTCTAGCAATATGGTCAAGTATACATTAATTTAAAATATTATACACATGGAGAGCACGCCAGATATACCCTATTTTCCCAAGTATAATTCGCACTTGTTTTTCAAAAAATATATGTTATAAAACATTGTGTGTCTTATACAAGGGTAATGTCATATTTTTTCCCCAAAATGGCCAGTCCCAAAATCAAGGTGTTTCCTACACATGGGATCATCTTACACTTGGGGAAATACAGTAATCTGAAATAAGATCATAAGAGAAAAACATTAATCAATTCCAAATTACATACAAAGACAGCAAAACAAATGGTTTGCCGACTTAAACAGAATGCCATGTGACACCATTCCATACAAGGCATACACCAAAATATCAGAACAAGAAAGAAAGACATCAGAGAAACTCTACAACAGCACGGTGTGTCTATGGTCATAGTAGCAAGAAGGAAAGACATCAGAGAAACTCTACAACAGCACAGTGTGTCTATGGTCATAGTAGCAAGAAGGAAAGACATCAGAGAAACTCTACAACAGCACAGTGTGTCTATGGTCATAGTAGCAAGAAGGAAAGACATCAGAGAAACTCTACAACAGCACAGTGTGTCTATGGTCATAATAGCAAGAACGAAAGATATCAGAGAAACTCTACAACAGCACAGTATGTCTATGGTCATAGTAGCAAGAAGGAAAGACATCAGAGAAACTCTACAACAGCACAGTGTGTCTATGGTCATAGTAGCAAGAAGGAAAGACATCAGAGAAACTCTACAACAGCACAGTGTGTCTATGGTCATAGTAGCAAGAAGGAAAGACATCAGAGAAACTCTACAACAGCACAGTGTGTCTATGGTCATAGTAGGAAGAAGGAAAGACATCAGAGAAACTCTACAACAGCACAGTGTGTCTATGGTCATAGTAGCAAGAAGGAAAGACATCAGAGAAACTCTACAACAGCACAGTGTGTCTATGGTCATAATAGCAAGAACGAAAGATATCAGAGAAACTCTACAACAGCACAGTGTGTCTATGGTCATAGTAGCAAGAAGGAAAGACATCAGAGAAACTACAACAGCACAGTGTGTCTATGGTCATAGTAGCAAGAAGGAAAGACATCAGAGAAACTCTACAACAGCACAGTGTGTCTATGGTCATAGTAGCAAGAACGAAAGATAGAGAAACTCTACAACAGCACAGTGTGTCTATGGTCATAGTAGCAAGAAGGAAAGACATCAGAGAAACTCTACAACAGCACAGTGTGTCTATGGTCATAGTAGCAAGAAGGAAAGACATCAGAGAAACTCTACAACAGCACAGTGTGTCTATGGTCATAGTAGCAAGAAGGAAAGACATCAGAGAAACTCTACAACAGCACAGTGTGTCTATGGTCATAGTAGCAAGAAGGAAAGACATCAGAGAAACTCTACAACAGCACAGTGTGTCTATGGTCATAGTAGCAAGAACGAAAGATATCAGAGAAACTCTACAACAGCACAGTGTGTCTATGGTCATAGTAGCAAGAAGGAAAGACATCAGAGAAACTCTACAACAGCACAGTGTGTCTATGGTCATAGTAGCAAGAAGGAAAGATATCAGAGAAACTCTACAACAGCACAGTGTGTCTATGGTCATAGTAGCAAGAAGCAGAACCTTGTATCTCCCCTACACCCATCCATACTAATGGTATCCGTTGTCATCTGGTCAACTACTCGTCTTGTCTTTCCTTTGAGTCTCGAGTGGCACCCAGAACCCGCAGCCACTCCTCGCTGTATCGTTTTCTCCAGGTGAAGATTTCCAGATCTTCCACTTGACCTATTACCCTGTCACACAGCTGTTTGAGATCACCTCAACCTTGTGCAGTTGCAGTACACCCCTAAATGGGGCCATTCCAGCCAGCCTATCTGCCTGCTCATTCCCAAACACACCTGAACAGCCTGAGCAAAGTATCCAAGTGACTCTTACTACCTGTGTCCTCTGGATTGATGTAATTCATTCCATGTGAAGAAAACCTGACTCCACCGTCCTGAGTGGGCTTTGCAAATCTGACACTATGACAACATGTATGGCTAAGATTTTTTGCCGCCCATGGAAACGCCAGTCACACACCTTTGACAGTGTACAACCAGGAGGAGATACAATGTTATAGATTCCCTTTAGCCAACCTTTCATTGTGGAGACAGCATTGAATTGGTTCATCATCATTATGCCCCTTGCTAATGGGCAACCATGCTTCACATCTTGCAATCACCAGAAAGCTAATTCATAGTGAAAACTGTTACATACTACAAACATTATCATCAAGTGCCTTGTCAACTGGGACGGGTGATCATGCCTCTCCACAATCTGCAACTTTCAACAGCATGTGTCAGTTTGTGTGTTAACATCCTTCCATGTCATGACAAAAGTCTGCCTGAAATCTTCTTCCATTGTCTTCCTTCCAGTGGTCACATGTTCTAGTTGTCTTCTCATAACATGATAAAAATATTCCGACAATCTCTTTTTGATGTTTGTGATAAGTATATACCAGTACAATCAAAAAATAAAATCTCTCATCTCCCTGTTGTTTTCTGTAAATCTAATTGTTACACATATGATCCAAGTATCGAGAATTGACCAAAATCCAAAAAACCTAAGAGTTGAGGTATTTTGGCCATGTTAACGCCACGGTGGCCCAGAAATAACAGTGATAGATGCAGAGACAGACAACTCTGTAGGTACATACAAAAATGTGCTTTGAAAGCACATAGGGCCAGAGAACTGGCTAAGGAAAGCAGGCATGCCTTGATGACAGCAAAATTCTGTAAAGAACTTTCTGACTGATTCTCATACCATGGCTAAGAGTTCACCGCCTCCTCTATGCTTATATATTGTCCATGTTTGTACCTTTAAGGTTATATTGTAATGTCAAATCAGTACTTTTGTATGGAGCTGAAACATGGAAACAGCTATAACAACTACTAATATACTACAGAGTATGCAGGTGTGTTAGGAAATGAACAGACAGACAGACAGGCTGGCTTGCATCCCTTGGTGGTAAATTCATGCATGACAAGCCAGATGTTGTAAGGGCCATGCCAACATAACTCAGTCGAGCTTACTTGTAATCCATCCTTAAATGTTTTTATATCAGTGAAGAAGTCTTCCATCACATACTTCTTGGGGTCAAAGGCCAGGTACTTTGCAGTGCTGTCATAGAGAGACTCCAGCTTCTTGTACATAGCACTCAGCAGCTCGTACTGGCTCTGGGCCTCTTTCAAAAAGCCGTGGAATCTTGTTAAGGAAATAAGATCGTTGGCGACTGTCAGTCCCTAATCTTAACATCCACACAGCCTTTCATTTTAACTACATCTGCATATTTAACAGCGGCTCTCAAACAGCATCACTAACAACTGTCTGTAAAAGAACATGCTTAAGAAAGTATTTCACTTCTTGACAAACCTATAAATGAATTGTGTCCTTGGTTTGAGCAGCTGGTTGGTACAGAAGAAGATATGAAAGGTCACTGATTTATTTAGAGCAACCAATGAAATATGAAAGGTAACTGATTTATTTAGAGCGACCAATGAGATATGAAAGGTCACTGATTTATTTAGAGCGACCAATGAGATATGAAAGGTCACTGATTTATTTAGAGTGACTAATGAGATATGAAAGGTCACTGATTTTTTTAGAGTGACTAATGAGATATGAAAGGTCACTGATTTATTTAGAGTGACTAATGAGATATGAAAGGTCACTGATTTATTTAGAGCGACCAATGAGATATGAAAGGTAACTGATTTATTGAGAGCGACCAATGAGATATGAAAGGTAACTGATTTATTTAGAGCGACCAATGAGATATGAAAGGTCACTGATTTATTTAGAGCGACCAATGAGATATGAAAGGTCACTGATTTATTTAGAGCGACCAATGAGATATGAAGGGTCACTGATTTATTGAGAGCGACCAATGAGATATGAAAGGTCACTGATTTATTTAGAGCGACCAATGAGATATGAAAGGTCACTGATTTATTGAGAGCGATCAATGAGATATGAAAGGTCACTGATTTATTGAGAGCGACCAATGAGATATGAAAGGTCACTGATTTATTTAGAGCGACCAATGAGATATGAAAGGTCACTGATTTATTTAGAGCGACCAATGAGATATGAAAGGTCACTGATTTATTGAGAGCGACCAATGAGATATGAAAGGTCACTGATTTATTGAGAGCAACCAATGAGATATGAAAGGTCACTGATTTATTGAGAGCGACCAATGAGATATGAAAGGTCACTGATTTATTGAGAGCGACCAATGAGATATGAAAGGTCACTGATTTATTGAGAGCGACCAATGAGACATGAAAGGTCACTGATTTATTTAGAGCGACCAATGAGATATGAAAGGTCACTGATTTATTGAGAGTGACTAATGAGATATGAAAGTTCACTGATTTATTGAGAGTGACCAATGAGATATGAAAGGTCACTGATTTATTTAGAGCGACCAATGAGATATGAAAGGTCACTGATTTATTGAGAGCGACCAATGAGATATGAAAGGTCACTGATTTATTTAAAGCGACTAATGAGATATGAAAGGTCACTGATTTATTTAGAGTGACTAATGAGATATGAAAGGTCACTAATTTATTTAGAGCGATCAATGAGATATGAAAGGTCACTGATTTATTTAGAGCGACCAATGAGATATGAAAGGTCACTGATTTATTGAGAGCGACCAATGAGATATGAAAGGTCACTGATTTATTTAGAGCAACCAATGAGATATGAAAGGTAACTGATTTATTTAGAGTAACTAATGAGACATGAAAGGTCACTGATTTATTTAGAGCAACCAATGAGATATGAAAGGTAACTGATTTATTTAGAGCGACTAATGAGACATGAAAGGTCACTGATTTATTTAGAGCGACCAATGAGATATGAAAGGTAACTGATTTATTTAGAGCGACCAATGAGATATGAAAGGTAACTGATTTATTTAGAGTGACTAATGAGACATGAAAGGTCACTGATTTATTTAGAGTGACTAATGAGATATGAAAGGTCACTGATTTATTTAGAGCGACCAATGAGATATGAAAGGTAACTGATTTATTTAGAGTGACTAATGAAATATGAAAGGTCACTGATTTATTTAGAGCAACCAATGAGATATGAAAGGTAACTGATTTATTTAGAGTGACTAATGAGACATGAAAGGTCACTGATTTATTTAGAGCGACCAATGAGATATGAAAGGTCACTGATTTATTTAGAGCGACCAATGAGATATGAAAGGTCACTGATTTATTTAGAGCGACCAATGAGATATGAAAGGTTACTGATTTATTTAGAGCGACCAATGAGATATGAAAGGTCACTGATTTATTTAGAGCGACTAATGAGATATGAAAGGTCACTGATTTATTTAGAGCGACCAATGAGATATGAAAGGTCACTGATTTATTTAGAGCGACCAATGAGATATGAAAGGTCACTGATTTATTTAGAGCGACCAATGAGATATGAAAGGTCACTGATTTATTTAGAGCGACCAATGAGATATGAAAGGTTACTGATTTATTTATAGTGACTAATGAGATACGAAAGGTCACTGATTTATTTAGAGCGACCAATGAGACATGAAAGGTAACTGATTTATTCAGAGTGACTAATGAGACATGAATGGTAATTCATTTATTTAGAGTGACTAATGAGATATGAAAGGTCACTGATTTATTTAGAGCGACCAATGAGATATGAAAGGTTACTAATTTATTTAGAGTGACTAATGAGACACAAAAGGTAACTGATGCACTGAGAGTGACTAAAGAGATATGAAAGTTAATGATGTACCGAGAATAACTAATGCATGGGGTTCTGCTTGTTACGGGAGACGTGAAAGGTAAGTACTAACTGTAACTAATGTAGGGAAGCCTTCTTCATATTTGAGTTAAAAACGGTAAATTATATATTAAGTTAACTTCTTTTCTGTCTCATTAAAGATGACTTTATATAAAAGGATATTCTCATGACATCTCCAAATTTGTCATTCGGGTCAGTGGACTTGCCCAAGTTTTTCAAATCCAGCTCCAGGTCTTTCAGCTGTTTCCCCATCGATGTGATGTTTTTGTGAACAGTTTCTGCCGAGACTTGAAAGCAAACCACAAACAGATTATGTTATGGCAAACTCAAATTTAGACTGGATAAGGAGCAGTATTTCAGAAGAAAGCATTTATTCACTGATGAATATATGAGAAACTATTTTTGAAGCAAATTTTTATGGTCAATAATTACAACTTCACAAAACACCACTGCCATTTTTCAAGACAACATTATCATTTATGAAGGCAGTATTAAACTTTCTGACAACAATATTAACAAGTCCTAAAATTAATTTCTGAAGACTGCAATTAAGAAGACATATCTGAAGACAAGATCACTATTTCTGAAGCTAACTATTTCTGAAGACAAGCTATTTCTGAAGACAAGCTCACTATCCCTAAAGACAAGCTAACTATTTCTGAAGACAAGATCACTATTTCTGAAGACAAGCTCACTATTTCTGAAGACAAGCTCACTATTTCTGAAGACAAGATCACAACTTCTCTTCATCCAGTTACTTTCTCAAAGTGTTTGAGGATGCAATGATCTTCTGTGTGCCTTTCTAATGTGTTGCATAAGGTGGTCCTTATTTCTTCAAGGCTGTTGTGTTATAACATATGATTGGAAACTATTTAAATTGTATCGTTTAGGTGTCAGAAATGTTTTTCCAACAACTGCTTTATTTTCTTACAATTAATTTGGTATATATTTTCCCTGTGTGGCTTAGTAGTAATATTTTTCTATAATGAATGCAATCTTTCTTAACTTTTTTATTCCTCCCAAAATGGTATAATTATTCCTGGTTGCCAATCTTCTGGTATTACCAGGTGATCTGGAAAATACATCTGAGCCATTTTAACTCTTTTTTTTTTTTCAGTTGCTTTGGTGGCTTCTGCAGGTAGATCCTTGGTCGACCCAGCCTAAAATGGGTACCAGGATGGGCTGTCCTGGGAAAGTAAAGACAGCCGGCGTAATGCTGACCACATTACCCACAGAGTGCTGATGGTCTGTAAAAATATGGGACGCTCTGCCCATATGCCCGATGTGCCGAAAGGCGTGAAAAGGGATCTTTACTTTACTTTTTTTTTTTACTGCAGGTAGATCATCAACTCCTGCCACTTTGTATTTTGGCGCAGTATTTAACATCACGTTTTCGACTTCTGTCCAAAAATGTCTGGTTCTAGTGTATATCTTCTTCTGTTTCTGATCAAATTAGTGATGTCATCTTTTGTCTCTAGACTGAGTGGGTCTTCAAATATTCCATCTCTCTAGAATCATTTTAAGGTGTGGATTGGGCTGCTCTCTTATCATGTAAGTATTTTTATTGGTTCAACACAAGATTAACATGCCTAAATGCAAAATCAATACATCTGAAGACAAGATCAACATTACTGGAAACAAGAATAACATATTTGAAGACAAGCTCAACATGCCCAAATACACGATCAATACATCCGAAGACAAAATCAATATTACTGGAAACAAGAATACCATATTTGAAGACAAAATCAACAAATGTGAAGACAAGATCAACATGCCTAAATATAAGATCAATACATCTTAAGACAAGATCAACATTACTGGAAACAAGATCAACATATTTGAAGACAAGATCAACATATGTGAAGACAAGCCACAACTCAAGACAAGATCAACATTATTCAAGACAAGATCAATATTACTCAAGGCAGGACTAAAATTCCTGAAGATCAACACACCTGGAAAAACAAAGTAATCCTGCTAGAAGACAAAGTCAGCACTTTGGATGACAAGATCAACACCCCTGAAGATAACATCAACACTTCTGAAGTAAAGATCAACACCCATAAAGACAATGTCAACTCTTGAAGACAAAGAAACACTCTGGAAGACAAGATCAGCATTCCTAAAATAATAGTATCACTTTGGAAGACAAATTAAAAAAACAAAAAATCAGCTTTTATGAAAATAGAAGCACCACATATGGAAAGCAGAACAAGCGTTAATACAAAACCAAGATTGCTGTTGTCCAACTTAAACAAGACAATTACAAAAACAAGCTCACCCCGAGCTGCCTTATCAACGTGGATAATCTCATCCAAGAAGCCTAGGATATCTGGATACATCTTGTCCAGGATTTCTGCTAGAAAATGCAGCATTGTTGTGTTGCCATCATGACTTTTAGTGTTCTCAAGCTGAAGACAACAAAGGGCATGACAACTTAGAGCAGAAACAAGTTTCTCATAAAAGTATTCTATGACTGTGTGTGTGTATTCATTAGCGTATATGTATAGTGTGTAACAAGTTTCACGGTTTTACACACATGCACATGCAGGCACACACATAATTATGTTCATATACAGTGTTAAATTATGAAAAAAGAATCAACATCATAGCACTCTGGACACCCCCATAAGTGCTCCATCCCCATCTTCAGCTGCAGCGAAGAGTTCCAATTCCGATGGCACCAGTAACTGTCTGATTGTATATCTGTCTTGCCCTTCCCCTTGAGTGTTGAACGTCTGCCAGATCACCTGGTAACTCCTCGTAGCGCTATTCTCCTCAGCATGTATTGATCTATCTGTGCCTCCGCACTTTACACTATTCAAATACAATAAGTTTGGAATATATGCAATCAAACATACTTTTTTTCAACAAATAGTACAGAAAAAAAAGGGGCACTATAATATAATATTTTTACAAACTCTACATGTGTATACTACCAGATTTGGATAATGACAGGGAAAAAAATGACAACTGAGGGAGTTATGAGTGTGATTTTCCTCGCAGCACTCTAGTCAAATGCAGAAGGGATCAGACTCCCCCTTCAACACATACATCAGCGTCCGAAGTTAACAGTACCAGTTTTAAGCTGGCTGACATTCTCAAACATCTGGTATGCCTCATTTCTGGCTATGTCAATTTTGCTTCTAGTTCTCAGACTCTTAGCATCGATGAGGATGCAGTCCACCCAAAATCTTCTGATCTTTCTCTCTCTCTAAGGGCAGTAACAATGTCAGAGTGATCAATATGTCGGGGACCTGTGACTATAGCTAACTCCATGCACGATTAAATTTTGCAGTTATACAACAACTGAGATGAGAAACATGAAAACAAGAAATATCTTTTGCATCAAGGTGAGAGAAGATCAAGAAAGGAAAAAAAAAATGGTTGGTAGTGGCAAAAATTAGCTTTCATTAGAAAACATGTGGAACTGTTCAGTCATTTTTCTCAGTTGCAAAAAGACAGTATTAGTTGTAACAGTATATGAGGAGAGCTTCTATTGCAAATGTTAAAAATGAGACAGAAATAACAATAACAATGCCACAAACTTGTAACCTGTCGATATTGTTAAGAATGTCAAATGTTAAGCACGTGACATCACGGTGCAGATGATCACAATGATGTCATACTGATAGTATAAAAATGGCCACCCCACTTTTGACATGCACCAAGGGGAGGATTCTTTAAAGCAATCTATCGGCAAATGAAAGGTCAAGTACAGTGATACCTGCCCATCAGTCCAGCAAGTGTATAAGTGGAGCGGTAAGGCATGAGTGGATACACATGGAAATGTAGTTTAACATCCTGCGGATCCAAATGTCACGGGTTCAGCTCCTTCTTCTTCTTCTTCTTCGCGTTCACCAGTTGTACACTCTGGCGTAAAGTTCTAGTTGTTCGTCCACTTCTGGACTGCAGTCCTGCTCCAGAACCTGAGTGTTGCGTGTGCATCAGTTTTACAGATCTGATTCAATTGAATGTAGACTGCTGGTTCCTTGCCTCTCAGGCAGATGCACTCCGACTTCAAAGGAAGCTCTCCAGTTAGTCGACTCGTTCGACATGCTTTTGGGGAGGCAGTGGGTCTATTCTTGTTTTCCCCACAATAGGGCCCCGGAACCCACTAGGGGAGGTTCAGCTCCTAAAAAAACCAAAAAACAATGGCTTTGGCTGCCAGGTCAACCTAGCCTTAAATGGGTTATCAGGCAGAGTCCTGGGAAGTAAAGGTAACCGACGTGATGCTGACCACATCACTCACCAAGTGTCGATTGGTCTATAAAACAGAGGTCTAGCCCTTTACTCCTAATATGCCTGAGGCATGGAAAAGGTCCCTTTACTTTACTCACACATTGCATGGAATTGAACTTGTTCAATTGACAAAAAATAAACAGATCCTCTTATTTTAACTAGTGAGCCAATTACCTTGCTCAAGAAGCTGACATCGAAGCCAATGGATCGTTCGTTTCGAGAGCCTGCGTTCAGATAGTTGCCAAGCACTAGTAGTAGCTCCAGAAGTTTGGCAAATCTCCTGCTGTTCTTGATTTCATCCAGTGCTTCTGTGGCAGATACTAAATCCTGCCCAGTGACAACAACAAATGGATAAGTAAAACAAAACAAAGCTTAATAAAATCTTATAAGAAGATGACTATTCTTACATTATATAGTTAGCATGCAATGACAAGCAACCAGACATACACAATATTTTTTTTAAACCATTCTTTTATTTTTTTTAAACTTCTTGAAGTCCATGCTATGTCCATCCACAGATTTCAATCTTTGAACTTTCAGTCATTTTTTTACAGAGATATGATGCACAAAATGTCTTTACATCTTTTAACTAGGTGTTTCTCTGCTTTTCTTTCCCTCCAGTTTTCCTGCTGTCACATTGTACTTGAGTTTTCCCCTTCTCACGATGTGAAATAATTATAATTCATTAAAAAAATACAGAACACCTCAGCATCATCATGTTGCAGGTTTTTTGCAGAATGTTGTTTGTATTTGCATGCAAAAGGCATCTCTAATATTTTGAGTCCACATTCATGTTGATCAACTCCTGTGTCGATCAACTCCCGTGTTGATCAACTCCCATGTTGATCAACTCCCGTGCTGATCAACTCTCAAGTTTATCAACTCCCGTGCTGATTAACTCCTGTGTTGATCAACTCCCATGTTGATCAACTCTCATGCTGATTAACTCCCATGTTAATCAACTCCCATGTTGATTAACTCCTGTGTTGATCAACTACCGTGCTGATCAACTCCCGTGTTGATCAACTCCCGTGTTGATCAACTCCCATGTTGATCAACTCCTGTGCTGATTAACTCTTGTGCTGATCAACTCCCATGTTAAACAACTCCTGTGCTGATTAACTCCCGTGTTGATCAGTTGATCAACTCTCGTGCTGATTAACACCCGTATTGATCAACTCCCATGTTGATCAACTCCCGTGCTGATCAACTCCCGTGTTGATCAACTTCTGTGTTGATCAACTCCCATCTTATTTCCAGAACAATGCCTTCCATGATTCTTTCTAATCCCCCACAGAACTTCTTGACATGTGTAGACAGTTCTTGACATGTGTAGACAGTTCTTGACATGGGTAGCCAGTTCTTGACATGTGTAGCCAGTTCTTGACATGTGTAGCCAGTTCTTGACATGTGTAGCCAGTTCTTGACATGTGTAGCCAGTTCTTGACAGGTGTAGCCAGTTCTTGACAGGTGTAGACAGTTCTTGACAGGTGTAGACAGTTCTTGTCAGGTGTAGACAGTTCTTGACATGTGTAGACAGTTCTTGACATGTGTAGACAGTTCTTGACAGGTGTAGACAGTTCTTGACATGGGTAACCAGTTCTTGACCTGTGTAGCCAGTTCTTGACCTGTGTAGCCAGTTCTTGACCTGTGTAGCCAGTTCTTGACCTGTGTAGCCAGTTCTTGACCTGTGTAGCCAGTTCTTGACCTGTGTAGCCAGTTCTTGACATGTGTAGCCAGTTCTTGACATGTGTAGACAATTCTTGACATGTGTAGCCAGTTCTTGACATGTGTAGCCAGTTCTTGACAGGTGTAGACAGTTCTTGACAGGTGTAGACAGTTCTTGACAGGTGTAGACAGTTCTTGACAGGTGTAGACAGTTCTTGACATGTGTAGACAGTTCTTGACAGGTGTAGACAGTTCTTGACAGGTGTAGACAGTTCTTGACATATGTAGACAGTTCTTGACACTTATAGCCCTGATCCTTGTACACCACCATGTGTGGTTCTGCATTTCACATGGCTGTAGTGTCTGCTTCTGATACAGGATGCTGCATGGCACAGCAGATTGCATTTTTTAAAAATAAAAATATAAAAATAAAAAAGATCACACTGAAAAATTGTAATAAGACAGAACAAGCTTGCAAGTATTACCTACCGGTTTAATATCACTGACAATCTCTGGGAACTTCATCTTGAACAATATAGAGCTGATACGGGGAACTAGGCGCTTGATGCTTGACATCTGTAATTAGAAATAACAAGATGTTATATCTTGTTCAATTCCTGATGGAGCTGGACTCTTTAAAAATGACCTCGGCTCCCAGCCTTAAATGGGTACCAGGTTCCATCCTGGGAAGTGAAGGCCGCCGGCGTGATGTTGACCACATCACCCACTGATTGCGGATTGATCTCTAAAATATAGGTCTAACCCTATGGGCCTAAAGGCGAGGAAAATGGTCCTTTAATTTTTTTACCTTTACATTATATCTATCTATTATCAGTATCCTCTTCATAAGGCATTCACAAGTGATTTCCATTGCTGCCGGTCTGCTGCTTTTCGGCTCATGGTATTCCATGTCAGTTAACATTCCTTCATCACCCGTTCAATTGTCCTTCTCCAGGTTTCTTTAGGTCGTCCACATCTCCTTTTCCCATCTGCTGTCTACCATTGTTTTTGCCAGTGTCACAAGGCATTCTGCAAACATGTCCAAGCCATCTCAATCGTCTTACTTTGATAATGTTTGCCAGTGATGCATATTCTGTTTTCCTCCTCAGTTCTTCATTTTGCATCATAACTTTAATATATATTCAGACAGGATGGGTAGAATATATCAGGGTCTGCTTGTGTGTGTATGCAGGACATGAATGAGTCACGCACCGAGCGCGTGCTCCAACGTTGTCAACTGTATGCTGCTAAGAGAGACGCAATATGGCCCTTTCCAATCTCAGTGAAGACAAAAGCTGTATGGTATACGTGGAGATATGGACTGCACAACAGCTTTTATAAAGGCTACCAGCCTCCTGAGATTAGTTTTCTAACAGAAGGATCGAAGAAGACAGACTAAGGTGGATTCATGGGAATAGGATGTCGTGAATTGTATTACATGGAGGGACAGAACATTAGTAAGGGAAAAGAGACAAAAGAAAATGACACCACAGGTTAAGCACTGAGTGTGAGAAGAAACACATAAAATACATGTGATAGTAACAATGGTCCTGAAATCACATGTATATAGTGGTGAAGATCCTTAATGCCAGCTGAAAATGCTGGTGCAACTTGCCATGGGTTGTGATTCTCATGCCTCACTATAGCACAATGGAATATCATAGTCTGTAAAGATGGGATGTGATGATTCCTTGATTGATCCCAGGACTGTAGAAATGGGATGTGACAAGTCCTTGGTTGATCCCAGGAATGTAAAGATGGGATGTGACGAGTCCTTGGGTGATCCCAGGTTGTAGAGATGGGATGTGAGGATTCCTTGAGTGATCCCAGGATGTAGAGATGGGATGTGAGGATTCCTTGGGTGATCCCAGGACTGTAAAGATGGGATGTGACGAGTCCTTGGGTGATCCCAGTACTGTAAAGATGGGATGTGACGAGTCCTTGGTTGATCCCAGGACTGTAAAGATGGGATGTGACGAGTCCTTGGGTGATCCCAGGACTGTAAAGATGGGATGTGACGAGTCCTTGGTTGATCCCAGGACTGTAAAGATGGGATGTGACGAGTCCTTGGGTGATCCCAGGACTGTAAAGATGGGATGTGACGAGTCCTTGGGTGATCCCAGGACTGTAAAGATGGGATGTGACGAGTCCTTGGGTGATCCCAGGACTGTAAAGATGGGATGTGACGAGTCCTTGGTTGATCCCAGGACTGTAAAGATGGGATGTGACGAGTCCTTGGTTGATCCCAGGACTGTAAAGATGGGATGTGACGATTCCTTGGTTGATCCCAGGACTGTAGAGATGGAATGTGACGAGTCCTTGGTTGATCCCAGGACTGTAAAGATAGGATGTGACGAGTCCTTGGTTGATTCCAGGACTGTAAAGATGGGATGTGACGATTCCTTGGTTGATCCCAGGACTGTAGAGATGGGATGTGACGAGTCCTTGGTCGATCCCAGGACTGTAAAGATAGGATGTGACGAGTCCTTGGGTGATCCCAGGACTGTAAAGATGGGATGTGACGAGTCCTTGGTTGATTCCAGGACTGTAAAAATGGGATGTGACGATTCTTAGGGTGATCCCAGGACCAGTCCTGTGTTGGGTCAGTATTTATGAAAGCCTCCTTGGAAAACAGGAAATGCACATGATAATTCTTGTACATTCATGCTTAAAAAGAGTGGTTGGCACCCTGTGTTGTGGTTTACAACTAGGCAGTGATATATGAGCCTTTTGGAACAACATATTTGATTTCAGGAAACTCCTAATTAATCACCCTTTATAGCATGCTTGTTGTGGTGGTGGTGGTGGCGGGGAGAAGTAGGTCCTTTTTTTTTTTTTTTAAATAAGGCCCCAGAACCCACATGGTGCTGTCGGATATTATGAATGACATTAAAACAAACAGTAGTATCAGAACAGCACGGTTCTCCATCTGGGATCTAACAATATCAAACCACATTACATACCACAACTGCAAACTGTTCAGGCTCCGCCAAATCTGAATAGCAATTTTGGAGGGCTGCCAGCTTTTTCAAGACTTCAGGTTCTGGAATGCACCGCATTAGCTGTTCTAGTAAACCAGGCGTCAGATTTGCCTCGTCCACAGCTAGAATTCGTTGCTTGATGTCCTCAAAAGAAAGCTTTATAGAACTCAGCAGAATAGCTAAGACATAAAAGAAAGTGATAGAAGATCAATACTTGAATAAAAAAATAATTTAAAAAAGACATTTAAAAACATAGCACTGGACTGATTTGTTCAAGACTAGTTCAGTGAGCTGTTAAGGTAATCTATTTTATCATCTGCAATGGGCTTTTTGTGGCAAAGTGGTTAAGCCGTTCACCTCGAGCTCTAAAAGTCATGGGTTTGTTTCCAGCTGCACTGTTCGGTTCACCAGTGTTTTTTATGGAGACTTGCAGGATGCAAGGAGTTCCGACAAAAAATGTTTTTCCAGTGTATGAGGTGTATATTTTAAGTTTATAACTGGGTGCCGTATAATTACATAATGTGGTAATTTAAATATATTAATACAGGCCGCTATCCATAACCTCACCTTACAATAAAACCTGGTCTGGTACCCCCCCATAACCTCACCTCACAATAAAACCTGGTCTGGTACCCCCCCCCCCCCCCAATAACCTCCCCTCACAATAAAACCTGGTCTGGTATGCCCCATAACCTCCCCTCACAAAAAAACCTGGTCTGGTACCCCCCACAACCTCCCCTCACAATAAAACCTTGTCTGGTACCCCCCATAACCTCCCCTCACAATAAAACCTGGTCTGGTACCCCCCATAACCTCCCCTCACAATAAAACCTGCTCTGGTACCCCCCATAACCTCACCTCACAATAAAACCTGGTCTGGTACCCCCCATAACCTCCCCTCACAATAAAACCTGGTCTGGTACCCCCCATAACCTCCCCTCACAATAAAACCTGCTCTGGTACCCCCCACAACCTCCCCTCACAATAAAACCTGGTCTGGTACCCCCCACAACCTCCCCTCACAATAAAACCTGGTTTGGTACCCCCCACAACCTCCCCTCACAATAAAACCTAGTCTGGTACCCCCCATAACCTCCCCTCACAATAAAACCTGCTCTGGTACCCCCCACAACCTCCCCTCACAATAAAACCTGGTCTGGTACCCCCCACAACCTCCCCTCACAATAAAACCTGGTCTGGTACCCCCCACAACCCTTCCCTCACAATAAAACCTGGTCTGGTACCCCCCACAACCTCCCCTCACAATAAAACTGGTCTGGTACCCCCCATAACCTCCCCTCACAATAAAAACCTGGTCTGGTACCCCCCACAACCTCCCCTCACAATAAAACCTGGTCTGGTACCCCCCAGCAGCCCCACAACCTCCCCTCACACCTCCCCCCACAACCTCACAAAAAAAACCTGGTCTGGTACCCCCCACCCCCTCACAACCTCCCCTCACAATAATAAAACCTGGTCTGGTACCCCCCCACAACCTCCCCTCACAATAAAACCTGGTCTGGTACCCCCCACAACCTCCCCTCACAATAAAACCTGGTCTGGTACCCCCCAGCAGCTCCCCCACAACCTCCCCCCACAACCTCACAATAAAACCTGGTCTGGTACCCCCACAACCTCCCCTCACAATAAAACCTGGTCTGGTACCCCCCACAACCTCCCCTCACAATAAAAAAATACCTGGTCTGGTACCCCCCACAACCTCCCCTCACAATAAAACCTGGTCTGGTACCCCCCACAACCTCCCCTCACAATAAAACCTGGTCTGGTACCCCCCACAACCTCCCCTCACAATAAACCTGGTCTGGTACCCCCCACAACCTCCCCTCACAATAAAAACCTGGTCTGGTACCCCCCACAACCTCCCCTCACAATAAAACCTGGTCTGGTACCCCCCACAACCTCCCCCCACAATAAAACCTGGTCTGGTACCCCCCACCTCCCCTCACAATAAACCTCCCCCCCCATAACCTACACAATAAACCTGGTCTGGTACCCCCCACAACCTCCCCTCACAATAAAACCTGGTCTGGTACCCCCCACAACCTCCCCTCACAATAAAACCTCACAATCTGGTACCCCCCATAACCTCCTCACCCTCACAATAAAACCTGGTCTGGTACCCCCCACAACCTCCCCTCACAATAAAACCTGGTCTGGTACCCCCCACAACCTCCCCTCACAATAAAACCTGGTCTGGTACCCCCCACAACCTCCCCTCACAATAAAACCTGGTCTGGTACCCCCCACAACCTCCCCCCAAACACAACAAACCTGGTCTGGTACCCCCCCCAACCTCCCCCCACAACAAAACCTGGTCTGGTACCCCCCACAACCTCCCCCCACAACAAAACCTGGTCTGGTACCCCCCAGCAGCTCCCACTACGGATACTTACCCTTCCACACAATCTTTCAGTTGCCCCTGGAGACTCGGGCCCCCCATTTCCCATGCTAAAAGAGAAAGCGAAACCTTACATCTCCCTGGATATCTGAATCAGTAAAAGACGAAGTGAAGAAGAAGGACATCAATAAATGGTCTTGGGAAAAAGATAAGAATGCACCATGAAGAACGAAGATAGATGATTCAAACTCACTGACTGATTGAACTTACATAAATTTTGGCCTGTTTTGATATCCAATACTCTGAGCTCCTTCCCCTTCTTTGTGGGCCTGCCCTCTGCTGTTTCAGCGAGTATTTTCTTGGCTTAGAACAAAGTAGCATCAGATACATTTCAATATTTAGTCAACTGTTAATCTAATAAACATTATTATTTTTTAGCGAAATTTATGCTACCAGTGTTAAAATTAGATCTTTGATAAAACTAACAAGTGCACAGTTATAACAGAGATGAGATATCTAAGAAGAGCTGCAAGAGTAAGAAAAGAAATATTAAAAATGAAGAAATTAGAAGACTAGGAATAAAACAAGTCTAACAGATTATTCTAGAGAAACTGCTAAAAAGAGCCACAGAGAAGAAATATATGGACAGAGCAAGGGAAAGACCATGTAAAAGACAACAGCATCAAAATCAGCCTAAAAGAAAGACCACCTCATACAATGGTTAGGAAGCAGCACACAGAAGATCCTTACAACCTCAACCTCTTTTCTTCCTTTCAACACCCTGATGAAGTAAGTGGAGGATGTGAAGAAAAAGTGAGATGTTTCATTTCTTCTTGGCTGAGGACAAAATAGCCATCAGATACCGTTCCAGTTAAACAGTTTGCTGGTTCACTGAATGACTTCACTCATCTCTAGGCCACATAGCCTGCGTTAGCACAGTCGATAGGAGACTCGCTTTCAAATCCAGCTGCAACTCGCTGCAGCCCACAGCCAGTGTTCGAAACTGGGTGGTTCACGAGGTTCACCCAGCCTCTAGGAAATGGGTACTAGAGTTAACACTCTGGGGGTGAATGGAGGGACGTCGCTGTAGCTACAGAGTTGCGTGCGGATGGCGACACAGGTGGATAGTTTCTTATCAGCTGTCCGTACTGGTGGCAGAGCACTTATGGTTTATAACCGTGTGCAATGACACTGGTTCACATCTCCCGACTTTACCTTGACCTTTACCACAGAGCTTCATATAATGCAAATTAAATTAAGCCAAAGAACAATCAGAAATCACAAGATCCCATCCTAAACATACAGAACACAGGAACTCGACACTAGACTGAGCTTAGTCAAGAACCAGGATCATAGCATTCTGAAGAGGCCCTTACACGTTCTACAATACATATTCCTTAAAGAGGTACAAACCAACCCATGAGAGCCTACCAATCTAACCTCCTGGCTAGCCGTTCCTCCACAAGAATGCGATTCCCACATGTCATGACTGTAACCAACTCAGAAAGCATGTTAGGAAATATGGAGACAGGCATGTTCCATGCAGAGATGGGCAAGTATCGCTTCAGAGGTTCCTTGGAAGGGGGGGGGGGGGGGCTGCGTAGTCTCGAGGCATGGTGTCTGCCTTGAGTGCTAGAGATCCCTGATTCAGGCCCCAGTGAAGGCTGGGATTTTTTCACATGGACGTCTAGTAATTTTTCCTGGTTTCTGGGTAGTAAGACTGAACGCATTGTGTACTGTACACATGTTAAAAAATCCCTTTGCATTTAGAAATAGACAAAAGTAGCCTAACTTCGCTGCCCGGGCCAAATTTGGAGTTAAAAATTCACCCAAAAAGTATTTCAAGGATCTTCGCTGGTGCAACGGGGTTCATGCACTGTGCTGAGATTCTTCAGACTCAGGCTTGAGTTAGAAGAACAGAGCACATATGGGTTACACCTGTGTGCCATGATGTTAATCCATTGAATAAACATAAACATCATCAGTGGGATTGATACCAAATACCAGGATGAATGCCTACGTCACTGGGCAGAGCACAAGATGATGAAAAGAAGACTACAGACCTACATGCACAGACAGGTGGAAGACTGGATGACATTACAAAATGCAACTTTTACCTGGAGGTTTTGTTGAAAACAGTCCCTCCAACAACTTGAAAATATCTGGGTTCTCAAACTCATCTTCACGCAGACCAACCCAGAGCGAGTCCTTCTCTAGATGTTTAGGATTCACCTATGAAATATACATTTTTTTTAAATTCATATTTGTGGTAGAATAAATGTCAAACATGGCACAGATTCATTTCTAAGTGAGTCAATTTTCCAGAGAGGAGGTCAAGCAACAAACGATAACATCAGGATAAGCAAATACTGTGTTATGTAAACAAAAGGATCACATGATTAATCTTGGACTTCTATGGTGACAAGTACAGTATAACAACAGATTGCTTTTTGCATTCAGTCTTCTTCTTCTGTAATTTTTATGCCTAACTACTATAGAACAATATATCACTATCATCTGCAAAGATGGAAAGGCTCAAAATAATGTGAAAAAGTTATACACAAGTTAGTATTTTTTTTATGAAGTGATGAGAAGAAATACAATGAAGACTGAAGACAGGAAAGATCAACGGTAACAGATAAATAATTTAGATCATGGCATTAATGAATATCAATAGAATCAATTTTAAAAAAACACCAAGATTTCTCAAGAAGACGTAAAAGCCCAGCTGTCTCGCAAAGTACATTATATTACATGAGCCGTGCCAAAATGAGGACGGAGAGAGAACTGTTATAAACAGCAGTGGTGCTAAAAATGGAATTGTGAAATCCAAGTGATGTCACTTGTCCATTCCCATCCCTTCCCCAGTGCAATCATAAACTTATAGGTGTTTCCAAAAAACCAGATGTGTTGTGAAAGGCCACTCCATGTGTTCTGCCAGCGGCTCAGTTTACCAGAAATAACTGGGCACATTTGAAATTACGGTAGCCGAAAGTAGGTCAAAGCACATTCTTCCAAAAAAGTCTCCTTTCGTTGTCAATTTCCCGGTTACAATAGGCACAGTTTAAGGATTGTTGCCATTTTTTTTTTATTTCCCAGGGTTTTCAGAGCCCTGAGAACCTAACTTGCCATTCCAAGGTTTGTCTCAGTTTCAAGGCCGGCTATGAGAACTAAAGATCTTTCACAGAAATGTGAAAACTACGTCATCTGGCCAGGCACATGCTGAGGACTGTGGTATTAATGAACGTCAGTAGAATGGATACAAAACATAAATATCTCGAAACTAGATTTAAATACCTAAGTCATCTGGTATGGTACATGTAGAAGATGATGGTGTGAAAGAACATCCACAGAATTGACATGAAACATCAAGATCTCTCAATAAGACAAAGCCTATGCCATCTGGCCAGGTAGAGGCTGAAGATGAATCCCAAACTCACCTTGTTCCAGTTCAGTCTCTTCGTCTGCGTGTTGGTTGAATACTTCTTTTTTGGTGCCATTCCAAATGGAAGCTGAGTTGGTGGTGGAGATTGAGCGAAGAAGCTTGGTGTTGGTGGTGGACATTGACTCATTCCTGGTAGAGGTGGTGCAGGAGGTGGAAGTCCACCGAGAGTCAGTGACAGTGGAGGTGCAGGTGGGGGTGAAGTTACTCCCCTTCCAGCACTACCTGGACTTTTGATTAGAGCCTTGCTGATGTTATCACCAATGTTTTGTTTTCTCTGAAAATGAGATAAATGAAATGGTAAAAAAGACTTGAAACTTTCACCTTGAGAAGCCGCAAACCTGATACTTCCGGTTGGACCCAATTGCATATAAATATCACATTTTCGAACAGCTTATAGTGACTTTATTAATGAGACCCATTGTTAATGCTACTGGCTGAGTTTGCGCCTATATAAAAATTTAGGAGTTCAGAAAATTAACACATAAACTAACAAATCATGTCAAGCATTTCTAGATTTGTTCATGACTGGTAAATTGTGTAGCTAAAGTTGACTATGTTTCAACACTTGGTCTCTACTTCCCTGAAAGACAGACAGACAGAGAGACAGACAGTTAGAGATAGAGAGATAGAAAGAGGTACAGAGAAACAGAGAATGACAGAGATAGGGAGAGAAAGAGAGATAGACAGAGAGAATGAAAAAGATATACAGAGCTAGAAAGACACAGAGAGAGAGAGAGAGAGAGAGAGAGAGAGAGAGAGAGAGAGAGAGAGAGAGAGAGAGAGAGAGAGAGACAGACAGACAGACAGACAGACAGACAGACAGACAGACAGACAGACAGACAGACAGACAGACAGACAGACACACAGACAGCAAGAAAGTGTTATAACATGATTCAATGGGAAACTTTCCTCTTTTCAGTTTACAAAAAAGTCAGTGGAGATATTTCTAGTCACTGTGTTTCAGGTAAATGAATAAGCTGGCTCAACAGATTCTCAAGACAGGAGAATTCATTTTCATAAAACAAAGTGTTAGTGGCTACATACCCCTTCCTTTATCTGTGACAGTTCCAGTTCGTACTGCTGGACCTTGCTCTCCAGGCTGATAGCTTTAGCCTCCGCCTCCTGCTTTGCAGTTAAGGCAGTGTCCAGTTTAGTGGTTATTTCTGCGACACTGATGTCTGCCTTAGTGTCCTCAAACTTGGAACTTCCAGACAGGTTGCCTTTATGTGCAGGAAACAAATCAACAATGCAGCACGAATTATAAACAATACGCAGTCACCAGTGTGTTACATAGAACCTTATATGTATCATAAGAGGCAAGAAAGGTCATTGTGAGGTCATCTATATGTATCATGAAAGACAAGAAAGGTCATAGTGAGGTCCCCTTTATGTATCATAAGAAAAAAGTTAGTGTCAGGTCACCTATATGCATCATAAGAGGCAAGAAAGGTCATTGTGAGGTCACCTCTATGCATCATAAGAGGCAAGAAAGGTCACCTATACTTATCATAAGAAAAAGGTCAGTGTATGGTTATCTATATGTATCATAAAAGGCAAGAAAGGTCAGCGTAAAAGCACATATCTATGTATCATAAAATGATAATTTCCCCTGGCTTTCCGCATTACATGGCTTTAAACTACATCCTCAGCCCTTGGCAACCTTTTGGATTGCCAGGGCAAGTGAGTGCCCTACTCTTTAATACTCCCAAGGGAGTAAGTCATTTTTTTTTAAAAACCTTTTGAGAACAGTCCTACGACAAATCTTTGGATCCATCAAAGCTGCAACACAGCAAAGTGAGGAGCAACAGTGAAATTCATTATATGTTTACATCACCATCAATTACTGGCATCGTGAGTGCTAACAGTGATGGTTGGGGCTTACAGAAAGAATGCCGATAGCAGAGACAACTTCTTTTTCTTCTTCTTTACGTCCTCTTTTACTGCTTAGGGTGTCAAGGAAGATAAATGGTCCATTACATGCTCTTCTGGCTGCTTCAACCATAGACTCATCATAGTGCTGTAGAGTTTCTCTGATGTTATCTTCCCACCTTGTTCTTGGTCTGCCTCTTGCTCTACGTCCTTCTCCTCTTTTGGTATATGCCTTGTATGGTATAGCATCAGAAGGTATTCTCTTTAAGTGGGCAAACAATCTGATTTGCTGTCTTTGAATGTAATTTAGAATTGGTTCTGTTCCGACTTTTACCTCATTCCTGATTTTTATCTCGCTGCGTGTAAAAAGACTTCACTGTAAATAGACCATGAGACAGACCAATAAGATGGACAGAAATTAAACAGACCAATAAGACAGAGAGATATTAAACAGACCAATAAGAGAGATATTAAACAGACCAATAAGAGAGATATTAAACCGACAAATGAGACGGAGAGATATTAAACAGACCAATAAGACGGAGAAATATTAAACAGATCAATAAGACGGAGAGATATTAAACAGACCAATAAGAAGGAGAGATATTCAACAGACCAATAAGACGGAGAGATATTAACCAGACCAAAAAGACGGACAGATATTAAACAGACCAATAAGATGGAGAAATATTAAACAGACCAATAAGACGGAGAGATATTAAACAGACCAATAGGATGGAGAGATACTAAACAAACAGACCACAAACAATCGGAGTCACCAACTGGAAACAAAATAGCAATCACTGAGATGAATGGAGGTGGGTGATAGCTGTAGCAATGAATCTCTAGGGCTCGGAAAGCTGAAAAATAAGAGGGAAGCTGGGAGCAGAAAATTAGATTTCCACTGCAAAGAAAGTGACATTTTACAAACCACACCGATACTTTACAAACCACACCGAGAATTCTAAACTCACTCAGCAAAGGTTCCACGTTAATTTGAAATCTTTGTGTGTAGCTGAAGTCTGGGTCATACCCCTCGCGATGGAGGACAATCTGGGTGACACATTCTTCAATCAGCTTGTAGTACTGGGGTCTGTCAGAATAACAAAACAAATTTGGCTGTGTATTAGCCGCTCTTAGTCATAATAATCACTGGGGTCAGTCACAATAAACAATCACTGGTGACTGTCACAATAAACAATCACTGGGATCTATGACAATAAACAATCACTGGGATCTATGACAATAAACAATCACTGGGATCTGTCACAAAAACCAATCACTGGTGACTGTCACAATAAACAATCACTGGGATCTGTCACAAAAACCAATCACTGGTGACTGTCACAATAAACAATCACTGGGATCTATGACAATAAACAATCACTGGGATCTGTCACAAAAACCAATCACTGGTGACTGTCACAATAAACAATCACTGGGGTCAGTCACAATAAACAAGCACTGGGGTCTGTCACAATAAATGATCACTGGGGTCTGTCACAATAAACAAGCACTGGGGTCTGTCACAATAAATAATCACTGGGGTCAGTCACAATAAACAATCACTGGTGACTGTCAAAATAAACAATCACTGGTGACTGTCACAATAAACAATCACTGGGATCTATGACAATAAACAATCACTGGGATCTATGACAATAAACAAGCACTGGGGTCTGTCACAATAAACGATCACTGGGGTCTGTCACAATAAACAAGCACTGGGGTCTGTCACAATAAACAATCACTGGGGTCAGTCACAATAAACAATCACTGGGGTCAGTCACAATAAACAATTACTGGGGTCAGTCACAATAAACAATCACTGGGGTCTGCCACAATAAACAATCACTGGGGTCTGTCACAATAAACAAGCACTGGGGTCTGTCCTAATAAACAATCACTGGGGTCTGTC